TTCTTCGTTCACGCAGGCCGAAACTGAATACGAATCATAATCATTACTGAAACCTACGTGAAACACGCCTAAATCAACGCACGTATCCTTAGTGCCATGACCAGCCTCTAATTTTAATAAGCCCATGACCCGCCCTCCCCCTGATCATCAGTTCGAACTCATAATCGACGTATGCCTTTTGTCGTACCGTAAGCTATCACAAATTATGTCAATATAAGGCACTAGCTGTGGATCCATAGCCACGTTCGTTTGAAGACCCCCCACATTATATTAATATTCTACTATATACTTTTCATATAGAGTGGTAGCTTTAATTTCACTTTACTTCAATAAACTATCCTTATACTACTCGCAATTAATTAATATCATCAACGCGGTAGAGAATAGTATAGCATGCTAAAAATCAGTATACCCCCCCCATATCGCTTTTCTGTCTGGGTAACTAGTGACGAATATCGCAAACATTTGCGTCGCAGTCAGTGGGTATAGCGGTCACGCCCGAGTGTCCATCATGCAATGATCACCATACTAATAATCCATCCATGATAGCCTCAACCCCCCCTCAGTCACGCCCGGATTGTCATCACCGACTATAATCCTATAACATTCGCATGACAATAGCTCACCCCCCCCCCTCCCCGCGATCATTCACATGATACATGCTCTAATAACATCGCATGCAACAGCTCAAAACGACCCCCGCCCCCCTCGTTCACGCCCCCGGATCATCACAGATAATGCATTCTATCAACATCAGCATGAATGCTCACCCCCTCCCTCGGTCACGCCCCGCTTCATCACAATCGATAAATCTCTAATAAACATCGCATGACGAGCTCACGACCCCCCTCTCGCCTCCGTCACGCCCGAGATATCATCACTACATGAATCCTAATAACATCGCAAATTGACACTACACAGCCCCCTCCGCTCGTCAACGCCGATCCATTCACTACCGATTACTCGTAACCCTAACTGTATCGGCACTTGATACTCACCCCCCCCCCGAGTCCACGCCCACAGATCATCACCACCGGATGAATCGTCTAATAACATCGGCCAATGATAGTCTCACCCCCCCTTCTCACCCCTGAGTCAGCTCACAGTTGTTACTAGACAATAATCTCTCAATAACATCTGCAGTGATTACTCACACCCCCCGTCCTGTACGCCAGCCGCTTCCGAATCATCACATGGATAATCCTATAACATCGATGACAAGCTCAGCCCCCCCCCCGTCGTCAACGATCACGATCATCCACACCCGATAAGTCCTAATTCAAGCCACTCGCATGATAAGCCCTCCTCCCCTTCGTTCACCTTCCGATTCATGTCAACCAACCGATGACAATCCTAATAACATCGAGCATGATAGCTGCACCTCCCCCCCCCTCCCCTCGCACGTCCGACTCATCACACGAAATCTCTACTTAACATGGCATGATAGCCCACCCCCCTCACCTCGTCAGTCGATCATCCACACGGTAAACTCTAATAACATCCGCATATACTCCACCCCCCGCCGGCCCCTCGTCACCGTCCGATCATCATTCGTCTTCCTGTTTCGCCTCTGCCCGGTGCGTGGCAATTTGCGTGTAGGCGGCTTCTCCCTAATCTTATCCCCACTTCTCGTTCTCAGCGTTTCTCTCCACTCTTACCAGGGTAAAGCACTCGTCGTGCGCTCCTGACCGTCGTCCCGCGCCCCCCTCTAAGACAACATTACATCCTCAATCCCCCCTCTTCACACTAATACCAGAGTCGCCAAATGTACTCTAACCACAACCACCCTCATGAACCTCCAACATCCTACTTTCAACAACCAATTACATAAGCACATCCGATCACTCTAATAATCAATTATTCTGATTTATCGAGCTAGAGTAGGTGGGACATATCCAAAATATAGATCTAAGCAATGATAGGCTCCTCTACGTGGTGTACGGCCCCCGATCCACTGTGAAGTAGTAACAATTCCCTTAACTGTGTGTGCCGTTGTGTGCTGTGTGGTTGTGCTGTGTATAAACTGTGTTGTGTGGTGCGTGTGTGGTGTGTGTTGCTGTGGATGGTGTGCATTACGTGTGTGCTGTGTTGTGTGTGTTGTGTGTCAGCAATGTAGTGTGTGTGTGTGTGTGTGGTGTGTGTTGTGTGTCGTGTGTGAGTGTTGTTGGATGTTGTGGTGGTGTGTGTGTGTGTGGGCATAGTGTGTGTGTTGTGGTGTGTGTGTGTGTGTTGTGCATTGTATGTGTGTGTCTGTGTGTGTAGTTGTGAGTTGTGTGTGTTCGTGTCGTGTGTGTGCGGTGTCTTGCCGTCGTGTGTGTGCCGTGTGTGTTGTGCGCCGCGAGCGCCGCGCGCCGCTGTGTGTGTGTGTGTGTGTGTGTGCTGTGTCGTGTGTTGTGTGTTGTGTCGTGTGTGGTATTGTGTGTGTCGTGTGGTTGTGGTGCTTGGTGCCGCGTCGTGCTGCCTGTGTGTCCTGCGCTGTTGTAGTCACGCATCGCCGAGTTGCTAGTATGTGCCCAACGATAATCGTCTTAAGTAACATGTTCGCATTGATCAGGCTTCTATGTCGTTCTGGTCCGTTCGCCGGCGCCCGTGTTCCGTGTGGTGGTCAACGTAGTGTGTTCCGAGTGAATTCATCCACCATGAGTAATACTCTTAATCAGACACTAATGCATGACAGCCGCGTTGCCTCGGCTATCGTTGATGTGATATGTGGCCACGCCTCGGTCGGTGTGTGTGTGTTTCATGTTGCAACGAGCGATAGCATATCTCGTATGATGGAACCAACTCTGTGCAAATGACATGGTGTGGTGCCTACTCGTGTCCCCGGCTGCGCCCGGCACGGTCCGTGCGATCATTGTTCACATGATGATATCTCGATGATGAACATTCAGTGCATGAAGGCGTGTCAGCCCCCCCAGTGTGCGCCGCACTGTGGTTCGTTCGAGACCGTGTGCCCGGATGGCTGTTGTGTATCGTATCACCAACTGAGTTAATGCTCTAAATAAGCTATCGTGTCACTGACAGTGTGTTGTGCGTTGCGCCTCGCTCGCCCTAGCTGTCCGTGTGTCACGGCGTGTGCGTGTGCTGTGTGCGATTGGACCGGTAGTGTGCCAATTGTAGTTGTCGTGGTGTGTGTGCGTGTGCCCTCCGCTTGCTCGCCCGATGCGTGCGTCTAGTGGATATGATATAGATAATCTGATATCATCACGATTTGTGCCGCTTGCACACACACACACAGTGCCACACACGCACGACGACAGCGACACCGCAAACATACACCACGTCACACACGCTGCAGCATACACACATTATAGTCGTGCTGATGTGGTGAGTAGTTAAGTTTGTAAGGTAGCTTAGGAGTAATGACTGTCGTGTATGATGGTACGAATCGGAAAAAGCGGGAAAATAGGTGCTATTGTTTTCAGCTGTACAGCCTATTATTCCTATGTCGTTTGTCCCTGCCGAGTCATAATTAATGTCATGGTATTGTGCTTAAGCCAGTCAATTACTTTTCTCTCATAAAGACGAAGAACCCTAATCTGACTAAATGTCATCCACTATAGCTCGAAATGCTTAGGTCGAGAGCCATATCGATGTCTTATCCTAAAACCTCCCCTCCCGACTCTCTATGCCAAAACGCCGCCCCCCCGGACCACTGTAACTAGACGTACTCCGCTTTAAGATATAAGCCGCTATTAGTTATGTTACGACATCCACTTGGCAGTACAAGCATCTACAAACTACGCGCTCACACAGCCATCTTTGGCTATCGTTTCCTGTCACCGTTGGAGCGCTGATAATCTGTTTGATAGCTCACACAAAAAATGCCTTACGAGAAGCGTCCTTTGAACCATCAAACACACGTGCGCGTCTCCAGATTTTGGATAGTCTACCGCTAAGCTTGCGCATCGTAGAGACTGTAACTTAACAAAACAGAGCGCATTGGCGACTGCCTTTGCCTTCCAATCATTCACTAGGACTGCATTAGACCCGATGCTAAGAATGAAATCGGGACGAAAAGGGAATAACGCGATGTCGACAACCGAAAAACGATCACATTAATCTCTCCAGAATATGATCTACCTCTCACGTACCTAGTATACACTTCTACACGCAACCGCTGTAACATCAATTCTCCAAATATTAGTAGCGAAAAACCGGAATCCTGCTCTACGAATGAACTAACCTTTGAGCCGCCGCTGTGGATGATTGAGCGACAGACTGATACTTAGAAGAGCGCCCGAACTTCTGGCAAGTTAAGCTAGACGGGGCGAGAGTTACGGAAACCAATATCTCAGCCTAAGGAAAAAAATAGTTATGACTAAAACTCGGTCGGGTCTTATACGTACGACTTATGCTTTATGGAGAAGAAGAAAATAAGAAATATGTGTTGCCATGTCTGTAGGAAAAGTCAAACCATAAAGATTATTGCTAGAACTCTCGCAGGCTAAGTAACAATTAGATTCATTTTTCGGGAAACAAGTATGAGCAAACTTTAGTTTTCCCAAATAGCGTTTTGCAATTAACCAGCCGTTGGAAACCTACTCAGATATAAGTACATTGAATGTAGCCCGCATCTTCGTAGATATTAGCCGAAGAACATACGGTTATAATCGCAAGAGAACATATCGTGACATAAGGGAAAAAAGCGTTGATGAATTAATAGAAATACTGATAAAACACACAGAGACATTGTACATGTTAACCCAGGAGTGCGATAACGATGTGGCTGATTCTATCCACGTCCAGGTTTACAAATTTCTGAAAATAAAACACAATAAGACAATCCGACATGCGTGAATACGAAAAGTATATAACTGAATAACATACAGCTAAGCAAAAACGGAGTGTTAAAGAATCAATCTTAATAATACACTCGACGACTTCCTCGAGAGATGCGGCAGAATGCTCTATGTTAGCGATGCCTCTGCTTCTTAGAATATTATTATATACCTTTAACTAGCTAGTCACAGGCTTAACTATATATATTTCATCCAAGGAGTGGAATAAATAAAGATGGATATGACTCTGCTCGAAACACAAACATCAACATCTCCATGCCCACAGTGTGTGTTTCTCAACTTCCGCGACTTACCCCGTCACTTCCACATAAAATTGTGTTTATCGCCTCGCTAATGCTGTGATGTGGGAAAACACCTACGGACTTAACATTAAATATAAGGATCTATAAGAATCGAGTAACAAAACGACTTAAGCAGTTAAATTCGCCATTGCCGTTGTTATGGGATTTGCATAATAACATGCCAGGCAGGAGCAATGTGAGCACTATACATATGCGCCAAAAGCTCAAAACAGATTCAAGGTCAAGTTCAAGATTAGAACAATATAATAATTATTATCAAGGGTTAATAATGACAATTTGTCATTATTAACCCCTGATAATACCATAATATCGTACGCGCGTTCTACCATGTGTCGCCACTGTAACCGTTCTCGTATATATCGCATGCAGCGGCGCCACTTACTTCTATATATATATATATTAATTTATACTGAGTTACTAATTAGTTAGTGTATAGAGATCAGTGATCGGCGCACGTAATGACCACATTATATATAAGACTGTATACAAGAACACGAGAGCGCAGCTAGAAAATTAGAAAGCGAGTGCGAACGTATGTTTTCTAGGTAATATTGCCATTATTAACATCAATAATTATATCATTGTTATTATTATTATTATTATTATTATTGTTGTTGTTGTTGTAATTATTATTGTAATTATTATTAATATCATCATCATCATCATCCTTATCATCATATAATATTATTAATAACTACAATACTAACAAAACTGTATGATAGTTACTCTTGGCTTATATATATATATATATATATATTATGGTATCAGGACAAATACCCCCGGACAATTACCCCCCGAACAANTATTGCATGCATTGCATGCACCGGTCAGATAAACCCGATCTGACAGCAGTAGCTTTGTTTTTGCAAAACCGTTGCCAATTCATAATCGTATAACTACGATTGCTTTTTATAAAACATATTGGTGCAGGACACAGTTTTTTTGAAGATGACATTGTAAGGTATATTAAGAACTGTAAATGAAAGATGGATCCGCTATGTAAAGGAGAACCCCGGTTATAATCGCAGAGACATATGATAACGGGAAAAGGCGTGTGCTGATAGACGGTACAGTTAAACCAGGAGTGCATAACATGGGGATGATATATGCACTCCTAGTTAAAATTTGAAAATAAACTAAATAACACAATGCAATATATCAATAGCTATATAGACTGTACATCAACGATCGAGGCATTGCATGCATCTGATGGGAGTGGGATACACTGTTTCTAAAATTACGGACTTACCCGGTTAACTTCCCATATTCGTTTATCCATGCCATGTCTGTGATGTGGAAACCCTAGGATAACAAAATATAAGGATTGTAGATCGAGTAACAAACGACTTAAGCAGCTAAATTCGCCATTGCCGCTGTTATGGGATTTGCATAATGACATGCCAGGCAGGAGCAATGTGAGCACTATACATATGCGCCCAAAGCTCAAAACAGGCTCACGTACGGTCAAGTTCAAGATTAGAACAATATATTATCAGGGGTTAATAATGAGAATTTGTTATTATTAACCCCTGATAATATCGTACGCGCGTTCTACCATGTGCCGCTACTGTAACCGTTCTCGTATATATCTCATGCAGCGGCGCCACTTACTTCTATATATTAATTTATACTGAGTTACTAATTAGTTAGTGTATAGAGATCAGTGATCGGCGCACGTAATGACCACATTATATATAAGACTGTATGCAAGAACACGAGAGCGCAGCTAGAAAATTAGAAATCGAGTGCGAACGTGTGTTTTCTAGGTATTATTGTCATTATTAACATCAATAATTATATCATTGTTATTATTATTATTATTATTATTGTTGTTGTTGTTGTTGTAATTATTATTGTAATTATTATTAATATCATCATCATGCAGCATCATATCTCACTATAATATTATTAATAACTACAATACTATATAACAAAACTGTATGATATTACTACATTGGCTGTACTATATATATATATAGTATATATATATATATATATATATATATATATCATATGCCGTATTCCAAACTCAAAGCGCGTGTCGTAATTATGAACATTCCCTATAAGGTTTATAATCTTCAGATATCAAACGCAATCATACATGTCATCGCTGCAGTTAGAGTCAGACATATAGGCATACATTAGCGCCGTGTTTCTGGCAGTACTGCGGTCAGGCCTCGTATACAATCTTACTAGCTAATACTCTACTACTACTAACCTACTACCTACTAGTGGCCCCAATGACTAAACGCTCATATCTATATATAATCTATCTATCTATATATAATATATATATAATATTAATAATATATATGATATATATATATATATATATATAATATATATAATATATATCAAGAGTACATGTATAGGAATTATGCTTCACTCTCATTATGTACTCTTTATATATACAGGCCGTAGCCAGCTTATATTGGGGGGGAGGTCGTTTGCTTCAAATGTTGGCAAACCGTAACCCAAAGTTGCGAGCACGCGAAGGGGGCGGTCTGGGGGGCCCTCCCCCCGCAAGATTTTTAAAATTACATCCCTCAAATCGACGTTTTCTGCGCGGACAAGGAGGCGGTCCGGACTCCCGTGGACCCCCCCTGTACACGCCCTGCCTCGAGCGCGAAAGCGACAGGCTGGACGGGAGGCAACGCGATCCGAGCGGGGCGAGGGTGTGGGAGGGGGTGTTTCACTGTTCACCTCTTCCGCACCGATGGAGATTTGCAATTATTACACATAAAATGGACGCGACCTGAGGTGAAATTCTCATGCAAACCTTGCACTATTATGATCTCCATTTTGCCCTTGTCTCTGGGGGGGGTTCGCGAACCCGAAGCCCCCCTGGCTACGGGCCTGTTATATATATATATAGATATATATATATATATTATATATGTGTGTGTGTGTGTGTATGTGAAGCATGAATCGTGTGTGTGCTGTGCTGTGTGTGTGAGTGTGGTGTGTCGTGTGTGATGTGTGTGTGTGTGTGTGTGTGTGTGTGTGTGTGTGTGTGTGTGTGCGCGTGTGTAGCATTTCTCTCCCACTGCATGTTCGATCATGTTTACCTTACTAGCTTCTAGTCAACAACATCAGTAGCGCATACTATAATCTATTAGCAAGCTATATAATTATAGCTGCTAGCGAAATGAAAGTTGCAACATATCATAATTCGCTGTACTTCGGTTGATTGGATTGATAGTCATATAAATTGATGAACCGGGTATGTGACATCTTTTTTTTGTCCAATTTAATCCATGGATTTAGTCAACTTGTATACAATAGGATTATGGACGAAATTAATTGGATCGTGGCGTGTTTTTTAAAAGAATGTACACCCCTTCCACAAATATACCCAAAAATATGCAGAGGCCCACGAATGTGTGGACCTTTGGCCCTTTTCAGTATAATTTGTAGGCCCGCCTCAGAATTAGAGGATTGATAAAGTCAGCTAGTAACGCGGGCACTTTGAATGGCAAATATAATATAATCAGGAGTGAATAATAATAGATTATTGTTCACTCCTGATATAATGATGATTATATTCCTGATATATTTATTCTGATTATATTTATTCTGATATATTTATTCCTGATATATTTTTTCCTGATATATATATTCCTGATATATTTCTGAATTCCTGATTCCTGATTTTAGATATAATGATGTCCTAGCTGCTACTACACAAATTGTGTGCGTACAGGATATGCGGTCACAGTTGCAAACTCAACGAAGAAATAATTCTTTCATATCAAATAATAATAACGAAGAACTTTAATATCAAGGAAAATATAGCAAGGAGGATGTATAAGCCTTACTTCTAAAATTTAATATAGGCCTAAGTAAATAAATATACCTTGGTTATTGCTTGCCAAAAGTTTCCGAAGAGGGGTGTTGGTTTGGGTCCTGGGACGCCTAACTCCTTCCAAAAATTGAACGGCCATGTTGAGTACCTATAATAAATAATATTAGTGATACTCACAATAAGCAAGATTTTGACACGAAGGATTGCGCGATACAAACAGTTAAGAGCGCGCTTAGAAAATGCAATTTGTGAATAGGGAAAGAAAATACATGTAGCAAGAACATAGCAGAGAATGAAGGGGCCCAAACAATCATGTACAGAACGAAAGCATCATATGTGACTACATTACAATTAGTGTACGTGTGTTCAAATCGTAACGGAAAAAACTTATTATGAATATATAACTAGCAATTTTATTTCACAAATAACGCTCCCAGGAAGATGGCAAGTGCCACGCAGCCAATTATTTATGTATATAAGCCAAGAATCCACATATTGATGATGTGCGTTCAAGCAGTCACTACGTCGATCACCTGCAGCAGATTAAAACTTAATTACTGATCTATAATCAAATAACATATAAATAATTAATTCCTGTGTATCAACACAGCGTCAGCATGACGGCATAGTAAGTATACCAATCGCATAATATATACATAATATATATATATATATATATATATATATATACGCGCGCGCGTACTTATATGTGTACCTCCCACCGACATACCCAGCACTAGCAACTCATGCATCGTTCGCCCGCAACAAACTTGACATACATTCGACACGCTCGCTCTTTCCTATATATTTGCTCACTCAAGCCAGAATCACAGGCACAGGATCTGTGTTGTAAAATATCTAAACATCCGATCAGCGCTCTACGCAGTTTGATCATTGCAGGATTTATATAATAGCGCGCTATAAATCGATTCCCCATCCGTTAGCACGCGCAAATTCACACGCACAGCGCACGCGTACAACACGAACAACACGCACACGACCGCGCGCGCACACACACATTTACATGCGGGCACACACATACACACACACACACACACACACACACACCACACACCACACACACACACAACACACACAACAACACACAACACACACGCACACGCACACCAGCGCGCGCGCACACACACACGTGCCACCAGTTCGCCAGTAAGGCACCAGTCACACATTCAGAATTTTTTCTGCCGTCCTTGATAGGACCATTCCTTATTTAAAATTTGTCAAAAGTCTGTAAATTCAAACTTTATTACAAATTTGTAAAAACATTTATTTAATCACGACAGAAATCAGATATTGTTCAGGAAGCGTCCCGATTCAGCCGTTTCAGCCGAATTCGTCCCGATTCTCAGTCTTCTGCAATCCGATTCTGATCGATTTGTATCTTTCGCTGGTTAAAAAACGACCAAATCTGTCCCGACAGGCGTCCCGATTCTCCGCGAATGCGATCGACCGATCAGACAGTGACCCGACAGTGAACCGACGCTGACGGAAGACGATGACAATGATAGATTTCTCCAGATCATGCCGTTCATCACGACAGCGTCCGACTCTACAGAACACCGTCCAGACACCGTCCAGACAACACAGAAACATGTTACGATTTTGATCCGATACAGCAGAATCTGTCACGACATAGTCACGATTGTAATCCGACTAGACCAAATCGGCTGAGTTTTCCGAATGTTACGGGACGCACCTAACTGTGCGAGTGCTTGGCCACCTCTCGCGACCATTCCCGATCCGTAGGACTCTGTACGAACGTATTCGACTGCGTTCAGACAATGATAGGACATTCCAGATCATTGAGGATAGTAATCCGACTTTTTCACTTTTTCGTGTCGTAGCGCTGTCTTGATCTCAAACGGGAGCCATAATCGGCCACGTGTGAACGCCTCATAAGCTACTTTATGTGAAATCAGTTTAGTTAGCGTACCTGTCGAACGTTCGTTCTCTTCAGATCGACAACGGTTAGAACGTACCCGAAGCACAGCCACTCCTGTCCTTCGTGCACGGAATCAACTCGTCTAATACAAACAGTTCCGCGCTACTGGTATATATGGACCCTGGGCTAGGTATTGGACCACATGAGTCATTCGTTGATAAGGACTGTTCTACGTGGCTGTGCACGTACGGTCACGCGTGCCGGCACGTGCTGCGCGCTACGCGGGGCGGCGATCTCGCGCGCTTCCCGCTCGATGAAGGCACGCTTCGCGCGGCCCGTGATGCCGGCCAGACGCTGCGCACGGAGATGTGGCCGCGGAGAACGCGTGCACCTGCACTGCGTCGTCGACGAGACGGGCGAGGCCGCGCTGACAGGCGCGTCTGTCGTCGAGGCGACAAGGCGCGTCCGTCGTCGCGGCGAAGAGGCGCGTCCGTCGACGAGGCGACAAGGCGCGTCCGTCGTCGCGGCGACATGGCGTCGTCGGTCGTCGCGGCGACAAGGCGCGTCGCGTCTTCGCGGCGACATGGCGTGTCTATCGTTGCGGCGCGTGCGGACGTGAAACGCGTGCTCGCTTGCGGTACGTTCGATCGGTGGCTGGGTTCGTGGTTATTTACCGCAGAAGTGGAGGCGGTTTCTCTTACGATTGTATTTCAGTGTGTGATAAACGACATGTGCTGGTGCAAGAATAAGAGATGGCGTTGTTTGATGCGTTTGGTGATAGATTGAGTGATGAATTGTACGTATGCATGCATGTTACGAATGTATGCACGCGCGCGCAGTGTATACACATGCATGCTCCTAGGAGAGATCCTATCTAGAATTACCCTATTTCAGCATAATTCAGCATTACTTTCCATCCTATTTCAGCATAATAAATATTGAATTTTTATTGCTTGCCTGCTGAATAACCGTTGCTGTGTTCCTCTGTCGAGACTTCATCTTTATTCCTGTGTCACATTATTTTATTGTGAGCTGAACTTGTGGAAATGACAATAAAATTGTCAGAACAAGGTGCAATACTAACTGTGATTCACCTATTCAAAGCAGGACAGTTCAACCCAACATTATTTCCCCTTTTCCATCATTTGTCACGTTGAGGTATTGTTGTTGCTATGATTTATTTACAGTATGCTTCCTATATATTATAGGCAATGCAGTACACTACGTGAGAAATCTCTTCAAAGAATTGTTGATATATCATTAGAAAACATTTGTAATGTAATAATTTATCAATCATTTCGCATCTAAATGTAAAGCGGTATCGATGTTATAGTATTATTATATTAAATCGTGTTTAAATTTTATGTGAATATGTGGACAATAAAAGTGTGAGGCGTAAAACTAAGTGCGTGATATTATAATTTCAATTCTCCGTACAGTGAGTTATCTATCTATATATTTGAGTAGTGTCGTTTGTTTGTTCCTGCCATAACTGTCTAGCGCGCATGCACGAATGCCGGCCTTGAAATTTTTCGTGCTTCATTTCTACGCGCATCAGATTCGATTCTAACATTTTGCTTTTTGTTATTTGTTGCGGTTTAAATGTTAAAGAAAAAAACATATTTAGAAATCTAATTGAAAATCATCCCTTGCGAAAACATGCACGAATTCAGTTCACCTTCGCTAGGTGCGTGAGCTGTAGATTACAAAACACGCAACCACAGGCTAAAACCACAGGCTAATAGTGATCACAGTAGACTGTCAACGAACTTGCAGGGATATCGCCAGGGCACACGCGCTGGCTGTGCAAATCAAGTCCTTCCCCCCTGCACGCTCTCGCACTCAGCGAGCATATGCTATATATCAATCGACTCTATTTTCTATCTATCTTTATGCTATCTATTATTATCTATCTATCTATCATATTTATTATATTATGCGATTGGTATACTTACTATGAAGTCATGCTGACGCTGTGTTGATACACAGGAATTAATTTACATGTTATTTGATTATAGATCAGTAATTAAGTTTTAATCTGCTGCAGGTGATCGACGTAGTGACTGCTTGAACGCACATCATCAATATGTGGATTCTTGGACTTATATACATAAATAATTGGCTGCTGGCACTTGCCATCTTCCTGGGAGCGTTATATTTGTAAATAAAATTGCTAGTTATATATTCATAATAAGTTTTTTCCGTTACGATTTGAACACACGTACACTAATTGTAATGTAGTCATATGTATGCTTTCGTTCTGTACATGATTGTTTGGGCCCCTTCATTCTCTGGCTATGTTCTTGCTTACATGTATTTTCTTTTCCCTATTCACTAATTGCATTTTCTAAGCGCGCTCTTAACTGTTTGTATCGCGCAATCCCTTCGTGTCAAATCTTGCTTATTGTGAGTATCACTAATATTATTTATTATAGGTACTCAACATGGCCGTTCAATTTTTGGAAGGAGTTAGGCGTCCCAGGACCTAAACCAACACCCCTCTTCGGAAACTTTTGGCAAGCAATAAACAAGGTGCCCGCGTTACTAGCTGACTTTATCAATCCTCTAATTCTGAGGCGGGCCTACAAACTATACTGAAAAGGGCCAAAGGTCCACACATTCGTGGGCCTCTGCATATTTTTGTGTATGTTTGTGGAAGGGGAGTCTTTTAAAAAACATGCCACGATCCAATAAATTTCGTCCATATTAAACGCATTGAAAATCCTATTATATACAAGTTGATTAAATCCATGGATTATATTGGACAAAAAAACTGGAAAAAAAATCGTGGTTGAGGTACGGCGTTTCTCAGCAAACTCGTTTGATGTGCTTTCCTGTATGGCCAAACACGTAGGCCTTTGCCACGGCGCGTGGATTGCAAATGTTGACTTGCGTGCGTGGAAAAGCAAACAAACGCACTAAAATAAATCGTCAAGGTCAAATGGAAGATGTCACATACCCAGTTCATCAATTTATTTGACTATCAACCCAATCAACCGAAGTATAGCGAATTATGATATGTTGCAACTTTCATTTCGCTAGCAGTATCTATATCTATTAGTATGCGCTAATGATGTTGTTGACTAAAGTAAACATGATCGAACATGCAGTGGGAGAGAAATACTACACACGCATATATATATATATATATTCGACGGACGCGCCTCTTCGCCGCGACGACGGACGCGCCTTGTCGCCTCGACGACAGACGCGCCTGTCAGCGCGGCCTCGCCCGTCTCGTCGACGACGCAGTGCAGGTGCACGCGTTCTCCGCGCCGCCACATCTCCGTGCGCAGCGTCTGGCCGGGCATCACGGGCCGCGCGAAGCGTGCCTTCATCGAGCGGAAGCGCGCGACGTCGCCGCCCGCGTAGCGGCGCAGCACGTGCCGGCACGCGTAGCCGTACGTGCACAGCCGTAGAACAGCCTTATCAACGAATGACTCATGTGGTCGCAATACCTAGCCCAGGGGTCCATATATGACCAGTAGCGCGGAACTGTTTGTATTAGACGAGTTGATCCGTGCACAGGGAGAGGAGTGGCTGCTGCTTCGGGTACGTTCTAACGTTGTCGATCTGAGAGAACGAACGTTCGACAGGTACGCTAACTAAACTGATTTCACATAAAGTAGCTTATGAGGCGTTCACACCGTGCCGATTATGGCTCCCGTTTGAGATCAGACAGCGCTACGACACGAAAAGTGAAAAAGTCGGATTACTATCCTCAATGATCTGGAATGTCCTATCATTGTCTGAACGCAGTCGAATACGTTCGTAACAGAGTCCTACGGATCGGGAATGGTCCGGAGAGGTCGGCCAAGCACTCCCGACAGTTAGGTGCGTCCCGTAACATTCGGAAAACTCAGCCGATTTTGTCTAGTCGGATTACAATCGTGACTATGTCGTGACAGATTCTGCTGTATCGGATCAAAATCGTAACAATGTTCTGTGTTGTCTGGACGGTGTCTGGACGGTGTTCTGTAGATCGGGACGCTGTCGTGATGAACGGGCATGATCTGGAGAAATCCATCATTGTCATCGTCTTCCGTCAGCGTCGGTTCACTGTCGGGTCACTGTCTGATCTCGGTCGGATCGCATTCGGGAGAATCGGGACGCTGTCGGGACAGATTTGGTCGTTTTTCACCAAGCGAAAGATACAAATCGGATCAGAATCGGATTGAGAACTGGAGAATCGGGACGAATTCGGCTGGAAACGGCTGAATCGGGACGCTTCCTGAACAATATCTGATTTCTGTCGTGATTAAATAAATGTTTTTACAAATTTGTAATAAAGTTTGAATTTACAGACTTTTGACAAATTTTAATCAGGAATGGTCCTATCAAGGACGGCAGAAAAAATTCTGAATGTGTGACTGGTGCCTTACTGGCGAACTGGTGCACGTGTGTGTGTGCGCGCGCGTGTGTGCGTGTGCGTGTGTGTGTGTGTGTGTGTGTGTGTGTGTGTGTGTGTGTGTGTGTGTGTGTGTGTGTGCCCGCATGTAAATGTGTGTGTGCGCGCG